AAATAAAGCGAGGCTGTGTTATGTTTACCAAGCGTATAACATTCTTTAACAACTGTGTCTTACATAATGAGTGCAGTTTCTTTAGAAACTATGCTCTTATTCACACTGGAAGGAGGAAAGGGAAGGGGAAAGAAGGGGAGGAAGGAAGGAAGGTGGGGGGAGGAAGGAAGGAGGCAGGGAGGGAGGGGAGGAGGGGAGGGAAGCTGGCTTCCAAAGCACTCCCTTCTCTAGGTTATTTACCGACCAGCAGGTAAACACAGCAGCCATTTGCAGCTAGATCCTGTTTCCAGAAACAATGTCCCACAGCCAAATCTGGCTCAATGCCTGCTTTTGCAAGTAAAGTTTTATTGGAACACAGCCATGCCGAGTGGTCTAGGGTCGATAAGTTTATTATAATGCTAAGGGTTAAGTATATGAAATCATAAACTCGGTCTAATTACATCAACGCAGAAATGCATATTCATAGAAAAAAAGACTGACAGGCAATACAACAAAAAGTTAACAGCAATTGTCCTAAGATGGTAAAATCTTGGATAATTTTTTTCCACTTTTAACTTTTTAGAAAATTTTCTACAAAGAATGTATATTCCATTTTTAACTGGAAATATTAAATTGACTTTTTAAAGTAGAAAGTAAAACCATAGACCTGAAAATATAAATAAGCACTGTCTGATGAACTATCTAAGCTTTTCCATTAAAAAAAAACTGGTGGTTTTTATTAAGAACTTGGCTGATCCAAAGAAGTACACATTTCACTTGGTAATTCTTTCTATGAGCGTATTCGCAGCGTGTTGCCATGTTCAGGCTAAGGACACCAGCAAAATGTTCTGTTCAATCTAATTTCAGCACCTCGATATGGCACAGAGCGGTTTACTGTGAAAGACCCACCCGCCCGAGACGCCACCCCGTGCGCTGGGGCAGCGGTTGCCTGACGACCATTGGCCGCGAGTGGCATATGGATTTCAGTCCATCTTCTGGTAACCGTTATCAGTTTGATTTGTTTTTCACTGTGCTTCCTACTAAATGTTTACTTTAAAAATTTTAATGTGTCCTAAAAGGATTTCAGGTGCTCCTGAGCTGACACATCAAGTCTTGGCAGAGAGCGCGCACGTCCCCCAGTCAGAGGGCGGGGACCCACTCTAGAACCCAGAGACGGCCGGCAGCAGCGTGAACGCACGCGGCCTCGCGAGCCTGCAAGGGGAGCCCAGTCCTTCCTGCTCGTGGTGGAAGAGCACAGAGCAGAGGGAAGCTCAGCAACGCGATGAGACACCTGGCTTTGGTGACAGGTGCGCTGGAGTGGGGCGGCAGGGAAGGTGTGGGCGGGTGTAGATGTCATCTCAGGCTCCATTTCTGCTTTGTGTTTTCTTTCCTGACTCCCTCCCTGCACCTCCACCCACCAGCCTGGAAACTCGCACAAATGCCCTACGAGGGTCCCGCCCAGTACGGCGTCCAGCCCAGGGCAGGCAGAGCCTGAGAGCGGAGCCGGCGCAGCGTCAGTTCCGGGGTCAGGTGCACAGCAGCAGTAACGGCAGGAAGCCTGACACGAGAGGCGAAAAATGCGTGCAACGTGGCCTGTTCCGTGGCAGACTCCGCTGAGCATCTGCGGAAGCTCCGGCCTGCAGGCCCAGGGCCATTTTCCACCTTTCTGCGTCAGTCTTTTACTCCTGGCAGCACTGATACGATACAGGCCCAATTACGACAATGTCTCCCTGTCATTACCTGGATCTATTCCTAAAACGCTATTCTTACTGAGTCACCTTCAGGGCTCTGCCCCCCCAGACTCCTAGGAAAAGAAGTCAAGGTCCTGGGCCCAGCGTTCCAAGGGACCCACAATCCGAGCTCAGCCCACCTCGGACCCTACCTGCACTCCCCTGGGCACCTTCCTCTCTAATTAGGCCGATCTCACTCTTCTCAGAAACCCGCAGTGTGCCGCCCTCCGCGGGGCTCTCCCTCCTCTCCAATCCCAGCCATCTGCGGTTTCAAGTTGCATCTCCTCCCAGCAGCTTCCTGCCAGTCTCTGGCCCTCAGGGATTTCTCTGTGCTCTGGAAATACAATAGCCCTTGACGCCATAAATTCATTTAGTCTTTGATCGCGTATTGCCTTGAAATGTTCGGACTTCCCGTCTTGCATAAAGCACCCATTTAAATAATGAGTTTTCAAGCTGCATCTTATCTCCTCCGCCCGATGATAATTTTTTTGAGGGCAATACGCTTCTTTGCATCTCCTGTGGGGCAAAGCACGGGTTACGAAGCACACAGCTGGTATTTGACCAACTGTGTTTTGCACAACAACGAAAGGAATGAACGAACTGAGCCACGTGGACAAAGCTCTTCCCAGGGCAGTCAGGTGGGCACGCGTGAGCCCTTCCCGACAGCCACCAGATGGGCAGTCCGGGAGCTAAAAAGAAGAGTTCGCTTATAAACCGAGGAACGCAGAGACCCACATCCAGAGAGAACTTCCTCAACAAAGACGCAGAAAGGGCTAGACGGCAACCCGGAAACAACGTGGCTTCCAGGAGGCGCCTCCGACAAGTGTCTCCACCCCTGTGGGACGTGCCGGGGTCGGAGTTCTCCGCCCTCTCCACCTTCTCCCCAGTTTGGGGAACGTGTCCTGGCGGCCCTGAGGTGTTTCCACCTCTGCCGTGTTCTGTTCCTCTCATCGCGGAAGCTCGTCTGCGCTGGATCGCTCGTCCTCCCTGTCGCTGCTTCTCTCGTCCCTGGGAGCTGCGCAGGCGGCCCTGAGCTCACTCTCGCTCGCGGGCCAGCACCTCTGCTGCTGCGAGCCCCAGCCACCGTGTCCCTAGCTTCAGACATCTCTCCTGCCTGTTTCTACTTGGTTCCCCTTTGTATCACTATTTCATATCTGCCCTGGTCCGTTTCGTGTTACTTTAAACAGAATACAACAGACTAGACCATCTAAAGCACAAAGAATTTTTTTTTTTTTTTTTGAGACAGAGTCTCACTGTGTTGCCCGGGCTAGAATGCCGTGGCATCGTCTTAGCTCACAGCAACCTCAAACTCCTGGGCTCAAGCAATCCTCCTGCCTCAGCCTCCCGAGTAGCTGGGACTACAGGCACATGCCACCATGCCTGGCTAGTTTTTTTCTACATATATTTTTAGCTGTCCAATTAATTTCTTTCCATTTTTTGGTAGAGACGGGGGTCTCGCTCTTGCTCAGGCTGGTTTCGAACTCCTGAGCTCAAACAATCTGCCCGCCTCGGCCTCCCAGAGTGCTAGGATTACAGGCGTGAGCCACCGCGCCCGGCCCAAATTACTTTTTACCTGAGAATATCTTTTGTGTTGGGAACATTTTGAAATATACAATAAATTACTGTTAACTACAATTTCCCTACTGTACTACTGAGTACTAGAACTTCTTCTATCTAACTGTATTTTTGTACCCATTAGCCAGTATCTCTTCACCAAAGACTTTTATAGCTTGCAGTTCTGGAGGCTGAGGGCCGAGGGGACAAGTCCCACCCGGGAGTCCTCCTGCTGTGCCTTCCACAGAGGGCGGAGCGCGAGCAGGGGGGCCGGGCTTGCTTTCTCGGATAACTGTCCTCTTCCCAGGGTCGCAGCACTGACCTATGCACGTGGGCTCGTCACTCGGTCACTTGCCAGGCCCACCTCCCAACACCGCTGCATCGGGGACTGAGTTTCCAGCATGTGGGTTTGGGCCACACATCAAGCCATAGCTTTGTTCCTACATCTTGTTACAGTATCTCCCTTCGCCCCTTTGACGACCTGCACCAGTTTGTCTTACGGTAATTCTGCTGCGTTTCCTGCACAGTGGCTGTGCTCCTCGGGTGTCTGGTCTTGCCATAGGGCTCTGCTCTGAGGCGTGCGGAGCGGGACGGCCCTAGCCAGCCCTGGTCTGTGTCAGCCAGGTACGGCGGGGATCAGCTGGCAGCAGAGACACTGCAGTCCCCCCCTCTGCTGCCCCTTTGGGCGCCTGCGCTTCCCCCGCTCTCTGTGACACTGCAAGGAGGCCTCTCCCCAGGGTCATCTGCAGCCCTGGGGTCTGGGAGGCTTGGGGTCAGGGAGAGTGAGTGGCAGGGCTGCGCGACAGTCAGCTCAGTGTCTCGAGTGGCAGGAGGCAAGGCAGGAAGGCCAGGTCTTCCTGCCAGCAACCCAGGGCAAACCCAGGCTGCCCCTGCCCCAGGCGACGTCACTCACAGGGTCCCCCCAGGGTGTGGGGTGAAAAGCCAGGAGACTCCGGCTGGACAGAAGCCCCAGGAACGTGCCCAGCAGGAGTGCGGTGTCTGCCGCCCGGCCGCACCGTTCGCACTGCGCCTCAGTGGAGAGGTTTTGTCTACTCGCTGGTAACAGCTACGGCATGGAAGCTTTTCAGCAAGACACAGAATGGGAAAGCAGACAGTAACGAGCGGCAAGATCGTCTGGGGGAGAAAACTGGATTTGGAGGCAGGAAACACACACACCCGCTGTGAGCTCTGCCAGTGGCACCGGGTCTGAGACGCAGGTTCTGCCTTCTTGGAATATCACACCCGTCTCCCCAGTTATACTCCCAAGTGCCCCCAACTTCTAAATCGAATGTAGGTAGAAAAAATCATGTTTGTGTGTGTGTGTGTTTTTACTGCTAATAATAAATTGAAAGATTATTCTTCAACTCAAGCAAGGAATTAAATTACTTTTTTTTTCATAATAGCCCTTTTTTCCCCCAGAAGAAAGTCTGATTTCCAGTACGCCCTGCCCTGGTGCTATCTAATGACACGCCCACAGTTAACAAAGACAACAAGAGGGCACTCTTGGCAATCACAAAGCAGACAACTGCCCAGGACCAATGCAGGAGGAAAAACGGGTGTTTAACGCTCAGATAAAACCCAAGCGTCCACCCAGAGTCCTGCACAAGAATGAACACAGGGCACACTCCCGTCTGTCACTGGGCTCATTAACCAGGTGGGCGCCTTGGACCCATGTGAGTCGGGACCCCGGGGGAGGGCCCCTGGGTGGGCACCGCAGGGACAGCAGGGGCCACTCACCAGCGCAGGGCGATCTTGATGGGGGTGGTGAGGCAGGATGTGAACAGGTCGGCCGGGAGGTCGGGGATCATGGGCAGGAGCTCGTGGGCCTCGCAGGCCGCCAGCTGGATGCAGTTCTTCATGGACGGTGGCAAAGGCATCTGGGCCAGTGGGTGGTTTGGGTTAATTGCAGCTACCTGAAGGCAGAACATGAAGGAACAGAGGGACTTAGCTGTTTTACACCACTGGAGGATGACATGGAAACGTACCAAAGAATAAATCGACTAGGCTTAAAGCACTGGGTTTCCACCCTCTGGAGAGAGGCGTCGATGCTGAATTCTCTCCTGCAGTGACCGCGAGACCTGAACCCGTGTGCGTGACATTCCCAAGGTCCTCACAGCACCGCGAGGTTTGTCTCCGCCAGATCCACTCCCCTCCTTCCTCGACTCCACATGTATATTCTAAATACTCAAGCTTTAGTCCATCACAACCGTATTTTGGTGCGTTTAATGGCACGCGATGTTCAGGTTACACGAAGTGCACGTCACCACCAGCAGAGAAGCAGACCAGAGCGTGGGTGCCGTGTGCTCGCTGGGCTGTCGCCGAAGAGACTCACAAGCAGACCCAGAGAGCACTCGCCCCAGAGGAGCGGAGTAAGGTGGTTTTATCTACGCCCATCTTCATCCCGCTTTTCTAAGTGTTCTGTAAACAAACGTGTGTTGATTTTGTAATCAGGGAGGAAGGTGTTTCTTTAACTCACAACTTAATCTCTCTTTACAGCAAGAGTAGTAACACCTGCTTGATACTAATTTCAGTGATTTGGTAAGGTGCCAGGTGCGACGTTGACATCACACTGTAGCTCTAAGAAGAAAGGCACCGAGCTAATTATTGTACGTTACAAAAAAAACATAAAATTTCATTTTTGACTGCATAAAATCTAATTGAAAGTGTAAATTGTCTTCTAAAATGTTTTGAGTTAAAAAATTAAACTATATTCAAAGGTTTAAAAAAATCACAGGATGTGGCTTTACTGTACTGCTGTAGATAATTGAGTGTGTCCCTGTTTTTCTACCAAAAAACAGCAGCGTTCAACAGCACACAAGGTCCTCATACCACCAGACATAAAATCATCCTAGCATCGTGGACTTGGATTCCTTCCCCCGCTACACACGTTGCCTGTATGTGACAATTTCGGCAATCCACGAGAGCTTCTGCTGTCATTTTCAGAAATAACGAGGTTTGTAGGAGTTCGTGGCATTGCGGCCAGTGAAATGCAATAGGCGCGATGCGTGAGGGATTATGGACACGCGCTCCTCTGCCTCCTCCTGAAAGTAACTGTGAAGAACACGGTGTCAGGACTCGTTTCACCAAACACAGGACTGTCCGCGGGGCCGCGCCGCCCTGCACAGCGACGCCCCCTCGCACAGGGCGATGAGTCATCAGGCCTCGGCAGGGCGCACCTGCCAGGGAGGGGCGGGCCCAGGTGCCCAGGAGCTCAGGCTCCCAGTCCCTCTAGTCCCTCCATCGGTGCTGTGACGGCTGAGCAGATGTGGGGAGGACGGACGGTGGCAGCAAACAAAGGGACAGTGAACAGGAAGACATGGAGAGTCACCACAGGCTCCTGGAGAGAGAACTTGCATTTTCCTTGCTTTAGTTGCCCTGCATTGTGATGTCTGAGCATAACATTTAGGTAACTAAAATAATGAAAAATAAAACCCCAAAATATCACACAGGTCCACACAGCTTCCAGAACCCCTTCACTCATCCACACGCAAATCTCCGTCACTCGGCCATGATGGAAAGCCACCTACCGCCGAGCCCGTTCCATCCCACCCATCGTGGTGCGGGATTTGGAGCGACAGCCCCGTCGCAAACCTGGCGGACTGAGGTTTCACGACCACAAGTGCCTCCTCCTAACGCAGTTGCATTTATCACGCGGTTCGGCAACGAGGGCCCAGAGAATCGCAGCACAGAGCCTTGAAACTATTTGTCACTTAAGCAATTCCTTGGGTTTTTTAAAAATAAATAACACGGAGGCGAGATTTCTTTTTACTAGAGCAGACCTCCATGAAGAACAGGTGCTAAATAGGTTAAGTGACAATGAACACTGAGTGAGGAAGGCAGGAGTTTTCACCAGCAGCAGCTGCGGACGTGTGCCGGGACATGCCAAGGACGTTCGTCCGTCTCCGTTCCTGCGTCTCACCAGCGATCCCTCCTGGCGGCACGGCGCCTGGTGCTCCTCCAAGCTCTTCACACACGCTCTCTCGTGTGCTTTCCACGACATCCCTGCAAGTTGTTCCTCCACGCCACAGACCATTCGCGACGAGGAAGCAGAGGCCCCAAGAAATGCCGTGGGCTGTCTGGCTACGAGTCAGCACGTGGGGTCCAGGCCGCCCCCGGGTTAGGGCCACGTTTTGCTCCATCGCCCCCTCTGGACCCCCCTGGATGGATTACACCAAGCACCTGTGACACGGACGTGAGTGCCTGCCGGGCATTTTCCAAAAAGCACTCTCGGCACCTCTGCATGCACACGAAGCGGCGCTCACCCGACATCTAGCACGGTGATGATGGGACGTGATGTGCTGTCCTTTTACTGCTGATAAACCCTGCTCATAACATCTCGAATTTCTCAAATGGAAGGTACTAAAGACTGCGAGTTTTATTATTTAATAATAATCCATTCTACCACAGGAACATTAAACCCAGAATATAAATCAAATTCTCATATACCTAATAATAAATACAACTTAAACATCTTAATAAAAACTGCAATTTCTAGAGGAATGAGTTTTTTTTTTTTTTACCATGGTAAGTTATAATAACTTAAAATTTATGATGTTAGCCATTTTAAATGTGCAGTTCGGTGGCGTTATGTCCCTTCGCACTGTTGTGCAACCGTCGCCAAGCATCGCCAAGCATCGCCAAGCATCGCCAAGCATCGCCAAGCAGCACCAAGCATCGCCAAGCATCGCCAAGCATCGCCAAGCAGCACCAAGCGGCAGGTTTTTTAGGGAGAGAGAACAGGGATGCCAAAAGCATGTCTAAAATCATTTCCTGGGCTCCAGCTCTACAAGCCAAAGCAGTGACGGCAAGCAGCCTGCCCTGCACAGGAAACTGGTCTCAGGTCGGCTGCGACACCCCACTCGGCCTGACCACGGTCTGGGCACCACGTGGGCCCCAGTCTTCAGACCTGAGTCACCCAGGAGCTCCGCGGGGCTGACAGGCAGGCGGACGGGTCAGAGCCGGCCCTCGTGGGCCTGGTGCTGACGGGCAGGAGAAGGCTGCGAGGAAGTGCTCGCCCACTCGTGGAAGCAAACCCTCCCTGGCCCCAGGAAAAGGGCCGGGAGGGAGGAGAGGAGACTACATCCGAGGCAAAGCTCATCGGAATGGAGTGTGCCGTCCTGAGCCGTGAAATGGAGCATTTGGAACGCCTGCCTGGGACTGCTGGAGGCTTGCTCTGTTTTAATAATCACCACCACTGGGCAGAGAGGCACAAGAATGGTTGGCCGAGGATTAAAAGGGAAATAACTTTAAGTGGGAAGAAATAGCCATTTGTGCAAAAACTAGATTCGATATTCCTATTTCCATCTTCAAAGGAATATTGGTGAGGTTTACTGCTTTTAACTTTCCTTTTTATAATTGGCTCCTACGTGGAATTTACTTTCTAAACAGAGCTGAGACTTGAAGCACAGGTCTTGCCACGACCTCCGAATGCGGCGGTGCTTCTGTCTTTGCCAACCGTTTGTACCAAGCTTCTGAAACCCAACGCTTTTCCTGCCAAGGTCTCCTCTCTCCCAAGTCAGCTCTAGAACCCAGGACTGCACGGGGAGGTGGGGGTGTCCATGGTGCAAGCAGCCATGCCAGAACCCGCGAATCGGAAGAGGCCTTCCTTCCTCAGGTTCCACCAAGTCTGTGTCCTATCTCCCGTGGTCCAGACGCTGCTGGGTTCAGTCTGCCAGGCCCGCCTCAGCCTGCACCTGAGGCCCACTCGCATTTGGTCCGATGCCTAGCAGGACACCTGATTCAGCGGTGCTCTGCGACGCGGAATGAGGAGATCAGAGCTGAGGAACTTCACCTCCCCCAGCATGGCCACTAGATGGATACCCCAGCTACCAAAGAAGCCCCCTCGGCATGCTGGTGTGCAGACGCAGGACGGCACGAACCGCAGGTGACCCAGCACGGGGCTGGATGCACGTACTGGTGCCCCAGACTCACGGGGCGCCCGTCTGCCACTGGCTCGGAGGGAGTATTCTGTCAAGCTTCACTTTTTCTTTCCCACCGCGCTGCTGGGCTCATGGAAGAACGCACGTGGGAGCTCTTTGCTTTAGGAGTGAACAGAACCAGCAACATGTTTGTAAAAACATCTTGACATTCAAGGCAAAGGAATCGACCAATGACCATTATTTTTCAGGCTTGCTAATCCAAGAATACAAAAAAGTCTATTTAAACAGATTAGTTATTTCCTGTACATTGTTTTAGTTTTGTGTTTATCTAAAATATTGACCCTTTAATTAAAATCAGTCTTCATAAAGGCATAGTGTGCCTCCTGACGGGCAAGCCCGCGCCGCGCTCACCCAGGAGTTCCCCTGCAGAATCTGGACCCAAACCCAAGAAAAATGTTCATCTTTAAAAGCTTACCAGAGCCTTCTGGAGGACTTGGGAAGGGTCCAGAGAAGTCTTCAGATGTGATGCAAAGCAAGCCGATCCAAAAAAGACATCTGCTGCAGCTTCCACGCGCGGCGTGCACGGGGAAGCCGGCCAGGCGGTGAGCCAAGGCCGCGAGCCCCCGCTCTGCAGAAAGCACCGGGCCCACTGTGCTGTCAGCAGTACCTGCACGTCCCGCTTCCTACCGAAACGGCACATCAGCTGCTTCTCTTCCCCTCTCAAACACATGCGACAGGCACCTCTATACAGAGATCCGGCACTAAGAGCTTCAGAGGAGTCTTTAACAAGTAAATTCCTAAAAATAACATCTCCTTGGCAATACTCTCAGTTCTGCCTCAAAGTAACTTTTATTCTCAATTCAACAACATCTAATTGCAATGGACGTCTTTTGCAAAGTTCAAAGAAAGACCGAGTTCCCTAAAGGAATCAGTATATTTACTACTTACCCAACTCCACTAATATTCACAGATGCAAACCCAGCACCTATCGTGTGACAGCAAAAACCGCAGATACAAAGCAGAAATAGTATTTT